CGCTCAGCTGTAGAATGCTTTCTTTCTGGATCGTGCTGGGACACCAAAAGGCAGTGACAAGACCTCCGACCAAAAGCGGCGACATGATTGTGCCATCGTCCATGCTGCGCTCTCTAGCTCACATAGTGTTCCAATACACCCCCCCCCCCCAACCCCTCTATGGACTCGGCTGTTCTTCCTGCTGATAATCATCACTTCCTGAAAAAAAAACACCCACATTCCACAAGCGCCACTGTTGGCATAGGATTACATTATTGGACACTTAAACCTTACAAAATAGCCCTTTGAGGGGATATTTCTGATTTATGCTGGTATGAGTTACTCAGCTGTAGTAGTATTGATTTGAGGCCCCTGGCTCCAGCTGGAGGTCTGTGTTCATAGATTTACAGCCAGCTATGGGTGATGGTAAGAATTCATTATGAAGATGAAGCAGCAGAAAGATGATTGAGTTTTTTGATACCCTCAATATATGTTTTTTTTTTAGCTAAACCTCTTTTTCAGACATTGCAACTAGTGAGTAAGTCATGTTAACCTAATGGTTATATTAAAGGTCCCCTATTATACTGTTTTTCATCAATATATTATAGGTCTCAGATATATACAAAACATGTCTCTGAAGTGTTTGGCTCCAAATACCAAACAGATCATGCATCCCATAATGCCCTCTGTTTCAGCCCTGTTTCAAAAGTGCTGATTCTCTGTCTGTTACTTTAGATGAAAATAAGGAGCCCCTCCCCACGACCCTCTGAGAGATATTTGGTTGAAAAGAACACAATGGTTCTCTAGGAGGAGATTCAGGTGATAAGGTGGGGGGTGGGGGGGGTTACCTTGGTTGGTGATTGGCTAATGGTTACACAACCCAAAGAAATAGTTATGACATCATAAAGTGGCCAAAATCTGATCAGCTCATTTTCAGACAGGTTTCTATATAAATGGGTCAGGAGAAAAAGAGAGAGAATCTTTGTTCCTGAAACTTTCAGAATCTCTTTACACAGAGGGGACACATGTTGATTTAGAAAATACATGAAAAAGTGGATTTTGCATAATAGGTGACCTTTAAACTATCCCTTCATGAGTTTACACGTGTGCCCTCGTTTAGCCTTACGCGTCCGGCAGGTGTTTAATGTGTTCTACTCTTCCTGTGTGTAATCAGCACATGAGATTGTAGGTCCGATTAGAAGCCAATCTCTTTTCCTCACCGTCTTCTCGTCGTTCTCGAAAGCCTCGCGGGCCTCCTCGTAGGTGCAGATCTCCTCGCGGCACTCCCTCTGGATGTTCCCCTGCTTCATCTCCTCAAGCAAGAAGTTGGCCCTGCGCAGCCTGTGCAGCACCGAGTGGGCCGCGTCCGCCGGCAGGAACACTGAGAGGCCGGAGAAAGAAGAGGAACGGAGGGGAAGAGAAAGAAAAGGGAAGCAGAACAAATGATGTAAGACTGAAATACGTGTGAGTGAAAAAAAGACAGTAATTGAGTGACAAGCCGAGACATGAGAAGAAAGAGGAAAGTACGGGGTGAGTCAGTAAGCAGAACTGCATGGTGGGGGGGGTTAAGCAAAGAGAGAGTGTTTTGAAAGAAAGAGGAGTAAAGCAGGAGTAAAGCAGGAGTAAAGGAGGATAGAGTTGCCAAAAAAGCAGAAAAGGGAGAGGGCCAGGAATGGGATGGTGGGCATTGAAACAAAGGCAGCAGAGCCGAGTGCTGCCAAGTGCCCACATTTCTGACTAAAAACAAAAGCTCCTTTGATTTAGGCTTCCATCCCTGGGCCACATAAGAAAAACTTGAGGAATGAACTTAGAGAAACAGAGCAGGCCTCTGTTTCACACGTATCCCAAACAAGAACATAAACTCATGAAACATGCCCAGGGGTTGTGGCACCAAAGGAAGTAATGGTGTCTGTGTGACTCGTATGTTGAGGGATGTGATTAGCTTAATAGGCAGAAAGGAACATAGTGGCAAAATTCATCAAAACAGGAAATTCCCTAAGGAAAGAATGGCAATTGTTTGCTTAAGACAACAGAGGAAAACCTGGAGAATCACATTCCACGACTAAGATTGTGTTTCTAACACGTCTAACGTCAACACAATAGACAAGAAAAAAGAAAAGAAATTGGAGATTATTTAGGAAATGTATAAGTGATATGGTCATGTGTGAACTTCTGTCTGTGGTGTAAAAGCAAAAAGGTTTAGTGTCAGTAAACGTACCACTGCCCATGATTCCTGAGCGTCTGTTTAGGAGGGTTTTCTGTAGAAGACCAAACAAACATTAGTGAAACGCTTTGAACCTGCTGATACAAATCAGACAATAATTAACCAAGACTCCTTCTCAAAAACACACATATTCTTTTGTTTCTTTCCTAACATAAACAGTTATTTAAACAATCCCTCAAAAGCAACTTTAACCTATTACATTTGGAAGGAGGCAATGACACAATTTTGAAGAATTTGATCATGCAAACCAGGAGAAAACATCTGATTTGAGCCAAATTACTTGGACATTTCACACTTTGTGAAATTCCTTTAGAAAAATACTATAAAAAGAAACTATGAATCAATGCAGGACATAGCAGTAGCACATTGGGAAAACATCACTCTCCTCTCACCACATGTTGTAACATGCTTTGGGGATAAGAATACTTGCATATAATATACAGTGGTGAAAAAATAACTACGTACATTTACTCAAGTTTTAGACTACAGTAGGTTTTTGAAATAGTATTTCCATTTAAAGCTAATTTATACTTCTACTTTGCTACCTTTCAGAGGTGAATATCATACTTTTTATTCCAACACATTTATTTGAATACCCGCAGTTACTTTGTACATATAAATACACACGATATGCTGATATGGTATAATGCAGTAGTGTACTAATCTACACAGTAGCATTTAGCTTGGTCCACAGCCACAAAGCTAAAATGCTCTTGCATGTTTAAAAACAGGATGAAATGACAACCAAAATAATAAAATGGTGTGAAAAGATTAACCCTGCATAACAAGTACTTTCACTGTCGATATTCGAAGTACATTTAGCTTAGAATACTTCTTTACTTTGTAATTCTGAAATAGGCCCTTTTGCATAATGATTACTTTTGATGCCAATAGTTTTCTACTTTCACTTGAGTAACCTTTTGAATGCAGGACTTTTACTTTTAACAGAGTATTCCTACACTCTGGTACTTCTACATTTACTTAAGTACAAGCTTTGAGTACTTTTTCCAACTCTGACTATGAATCAATGCAAGACATAGACGTAGCACAGCCGTGTGAAAACATCACTCTCCCATTTTGACAGACTTGCGTATTATATTCCAATGGATGTGTAAGGTTATAACAGTTAGGCGTTAAAGGGCGTGTAGTGCGTGTGACACATCCTTGACCAGAGTGACCAATGGCGGCTGCTGGATAGTGTTAAGTATTACGGGAATCCTGCTAGTAGCTACCCGATTTAGATCACCAGCGGAGGAGACAGCACACAAAGAGCCGCCGCCCCGTTACACAGATTACAAGACAGCCTGTAATAACACACCGAAAGCTTCAAAGATTCTAGCCAAGCCTATTTATGGTCTATTCTCGTCCGTCTGTTTAGCGGTGTTAGCTTTGGTTAGTGCCCCGTGTATTGACAAGCGGGGATGATTTGTAGGATCAGTGCGTCTCCAGCCTCGGATGCGATTTAACGAGCAACACATGATTCACACGGCCGGATATTCCAAAACAGAGGTCGAAAGAAGAGCCTTTGCTAAATACTACAAGTTTTAACTTCGTGTAAATGTTGTGTGTCAGTGTAAGAATACAGTTTATCACTTTAGCTCACCTCTTTTCGTCCCAAAAATGCGCATAAACGATCCCTCTTCTCCTCTGCCTTCCCAGTGTTGCTATGCACGTCGCGCATGCGCAGTGCTCTGAGTCTGTTTGCATCCAGCGCCCCTTCCACTTAGTTAAAGGGACAGAGACCCAAAATATTCACATCATACATAAAATGTTTTATAGCACTAAATAAATGTATATATTACTATATAATATGGGGTTAGCAGAATTGTCTTTTGAAAAAACCCGTAGTTATCTCATTGTCTTACTATAAGGGGATTTTGCAAACAAATTAAGATAAATAGTTAAAATAAACATTGCATTCAATTGAAATAAAAATGTTTTCTGGACTCATACAACCCAATAAGACGAATCACATATTAGCCTTAGGGGTTTTTACAATCTGTGCACACCCTATAGATAAGAAACCACAAACCTTTTTACATAGAAACTGCAGATAAACTTGATGATGAGAAGATGTGCAATAGATGACATGTGTAGAATAGACAAACATACAGTTACAATATAGACAGTTTATATAAAAAACGGATACATAGAGTGTGAACATAAATGAAAAACATAGATCCAGAAGGTTGTCAATGGGAGGAGTTTATTTTTTGCAAGTGTTATTGTGACCACTAGAAGTCACTCTTTACTCTCAGCTTTTCATTTACTGAGCACTGTAGTTAGACATAAGCTTTGAATGAAAAAGTGGAAGATGATGTCAGATTTCAGTCCCTTTTTATCTTCCATTTTCAAAACAAATTACTGTACTATAACATATGAGAAATATGAGGAAATCTGAAAGATACAAATAAATCCTGATTTGGATATATTGTGTAAGTTATTGCTGTTAAATACAGTTTCAATATGGCTGTTAATTAAGGTAGTACATTGCCATTGGCTACAGCACCAGCAAACAATCATGTTAACGGTAAACAACTTGGTTTTCTATTCTACTAAAGTGCATCTGAAAAATACATTGACTGCAACAATGTATCCCCTTAAGTTGAGTTGTTGTAACTTTTGACCTTTTCATGAATTTAGAGAAAAATCACACTCCAATGAATTAGAATTATTTTCATTAAACAATAGTATATCTGCCTCACATTTGTCCTCTGCTGCTTTAATTGAGTATTTTTCTCACACCATTAATCAGCTTGGGTACACTGCCGGACAGTTATTGATAGCAGAAACAACAGTTATCAATGTTCTATGTGACTTAACTTTTACTTAATGTTCTGTGTCAGTCGATTTCGACATTAAAATCGAAGCAGTGACATTTTGAACCTCACACACACCATTAAATATGTGTATTGCATCTGCAACTCCATGGCAGTAATGGTATATCAATGCTAAAGAGAGAGTAGTTAGAAAGGACTGTTTGTGTGTATGTGTGTGTGTGTTCATGTTTATAGTCACAGAGTCTACTGATTCCAATCTTTAATCATCAGTAATGGTGTTGAAAGACTTTGCCGCCAGGATCAGTTGACCGACTCCTTTCTCTCACACACAAACTAAAATCCAAACTACTGTAAAAGAGAGGGTTTTTTCGAGCCTGTCTGTTTTGAAAGGAAGCAACTCACATATAAATGGTGTTTATGAAATTGAAATCTCAACACATTGTGTCGTATTACATGACCACTGTTTTCTTTAATTAATTGGTTCCTCTCACCTGCCAGTAACCCTTTACTTTAATTTACAGTTAATTAACAAGGAGCATATCTTTTTTTAATGTAACTATCAAATTAATTTGATTTAAAACAATCAAATGTGAGTTCACAGTATATTGTTTTGTGTGTGTGTAAGAGTGTGTGTTACTGTATCAATAATTAATTCAGAGAATCTTCCCTCAGGACAAAGGATTAGCAAACTTCAATTAGGCAAAAAAAAAAAGGTTTGCTGTATAAGCTTCCCCTCAGCACATTTTGTGTGTGTGTGTGTGTGTGTGTGTGTGTGTGTGTGTGTGTGTGTGTGTGTGTGTGTGTGTGTGTGTGTGTGTCAGGAAATTGGTTGTTAGACAAAATGTAACCTGAAGACACGGAGGAGAGAAAGAGCAGTCTAACGAGGAGTGCAAAGACTTTTGCAAACGCAAAGCAGAGACGTAGTTAAAAAGTGAACCAACTAAAACAAAAATGTACTCTTTCTCGATTTTTATGTTACATTAAGACAAATCATAAGTTACTCTTTTGTTTGCCTCATGATGCCTGCATTTGATGGCTGCATGTTGCAATATTTTCCATAAGCTTTTTTTATTTTAAATCATGAGGACTTACAGAACGACCATTTTTAGGTAGCCTACTTGTACTTTACTTGATTATTTCAATTGTGTGCTACTTTTACAATACTACATTTAATAATACTATATATATATCAAACTAACTGCACCTTTACCAGCTTTGATAAACACTGACTTTACTGAATCAATAATAATAATACTCAAAACATATAATATAGTATTCTGAAATGGGGCAATTTGCATAATGAGTATAGCCTACTTTTACTTTTATAGTAAGGATAAGTATATGTTGATGCTAATACTTGTGTAGTTTTACAACACGGTCCTGAACGTTGGATTTTAACCCATTGACATTTAAGTTGACTTTGACACACTGGCAGGCTACAAGATCTGAGTACTTTTCCCACCTCTAGTTACTGGTAGTGGGTCTCGGCACTAGGACCCAGCAGGTGCAGCCTGTGTTATCTCAGCGGTCTGCAGCGCGGTCCCGTCAGCAGTGCGCGGTCCCGTCAGCAGAGCGCGGCTCAGCGGCAGCAGAGTCTCTTGACTCGGGACGCGCAGAGAACAGCGGCTCCCCATCCTGACCTGCTACCCACAACACGGGCACGGGCAGGGGGGACAACCACAACTTTGACTCCTTTTGTGGATCCGAGGAACAACACAGACCCACAACACGCAAATGTTTTACTTATTTTTCATTTATTTTGAATGAGTAAGATACTTTAGACATGTCTTCATCCGTGAGCGGCACAGAAGAGGTCCGGGTGTCCGTGTTGACGCCCCTGAAGTTGGTGGGATTGGTGTGCGTCTTTCTTGCCCTGTGCCTGGATGTCGGGGCCGTGTTGAGCCCGGCGTGGGTCACTGCGGACGACCAGTACTACCTGTCCATGTGGGTGTCCTGCTGGAAGCCCGTCAGCTCCGCGGAGTGGTCCTGCAACAGCACGCTGGCCACCGGTGAGAAACACTCTCATGTGCCCGAACACACACTGATTTATGGTGGCTGATGGGGTGATGAGCCACCATGTTGTTTTGGAAGTTTTAAACCAGTGGGTTGTACATGTTGTTGTAGGTTTAGGGATGTTTCCCCCTTGAAATGTCATATTTCGGGGTGCAGACAGACACCCACATTCATATTCAAATGAAGTCAGAGGGATAACAAAGAGTCCCTGCAGACAGTGCACCGCTGAAGCAATCTGTGGGTGAGAATTATAAAATATCACACAAGAGAGTGCTAAGTGTAATTACTTTATAATTAGTTATTGCCTGCTTAATTTAAACTCCAGAACTTTTTTCTACATGCAATAAGATAGTGAGCAATTGGCTGTTCATTGCTACCTTCCAAGTGGGAAATTAAATAAATACTATAAGTTTATCCTTGAGTCATCAATAAGACATATTTGGTTTATCTATCTAGGCTAGTTCACTTTTCTTCTAAAACATTTGTTCACCACTGAATGATGTGGGAATGTTGCTTTGCCAGGAGCGGGCCAGCTGGGGTTTCATTTGGCCTTTTGTTGCTCACAAAATGAGCCTTTGTGTGGGTTTCTTCCCCGGGCCAAGGAGCGAGGGCAACTCAGAGCAGAGAACTCCCCAGAGGTCCAGATGCCTGGAGATTAGTAACCAGGGTAACTTGGTAAGTGAAGCACTCCAGAAATGCTGATATTCCCCTATTTAGGAAATTCCTTTACGGATATCCCATGAAGGTTTATTTATGGAAGCATTTCATATTTTCATCACAATCATTCATTCAGGAATGTCATGTGGCTAAGAATACCATATGGATAACATTCGCAAAAATCAATCATGAATACCGGAAAACATTAATGTATGCCTTGTTGTGACAACTATAAAATTGAATGTAATCCAATACAGCAGCCCTGCAATATGTAATTCAAACTGGTTACGCTAGATGTTACACATCGGGGCTTTGCTGTAAAAGGTTCAACTCTATTGTAAGGTGGACAATAAAACTAAACAATTCCAGTATAATCGAGCCAGCAAACACAACTATAGCCTCAAACACGAGGAGATAAGAAAACAGTTATAAGCTTGCCAAAGGTAGTTTGCAGGGCTTTTTAGTTATATAGTTGTGTTTGGATGTTTTCTGCAATATAACTTATCCTAATTAACGCTTAATATTGTGATAATTATCCAATATTTTTTTCTTTGGGTAAAAGTTGTCTAAACTCTATTCTGGAAAGAAATGTAGCTCTATCTTACAGCTTCTTTAGTTATGTCTTTGTGTGTATGTGTGTCTGTGTGTGCACCTATATATAGCCTATAATTCATTTTTGGCTGACCTCCTCCTGTGCTCTGAGTGGTAAATTGTGTTTTTGTTAGTCTGACTAAATGTTTTCTTTCTGTCTGAGAGATGAGTAACTGTGGGTCACGCTGGCCCCGATCCTCCTCTGTCAGCGGAGACAAAGTGCACTTTGGTGCCATATAAAGACATGCAGTCTCCACGTCAGCTCTCAGCAGCGGCAGAAGCATACCACAGTAAATGCACACAGCAAACTGCCCATTTCCTCATGCGTGTGCTTGGAAGGCTTATTGATTTGAATCCCAGTAATCAGTTTCTACCCCCCTCTCACCAGCCCCCCAATATTTCCTCAGTGTCATGCTCTGGGCATTAAATAAATCCTGTTAGTTAGAAACACCAGCTGGCCTCTTAGATGTTCTGAGCTTGTTCTGCAAGGCATGTCTGTGTGAAGTTGAAGGCAGACATGACATATTGCCTTTTGACATGCTCGTGAAGTGTTACAAATATACAGTCTCATTTAGTAATCCTCCTCTCTTCCAGTTTTTCTACCTCACACACATACACACACTTAGGCAGACGGTCCGAGGTCAAGTAGAAAAGATACAGACTTTACAAGATTAGGAATGTGGAACGGTAGCACAAGAGAAGTGTGTTTGGATGCCATGTCGGTGCGAGATGAAGGACGAATGTGGAGCCAGTGTGTGAGTTCAGTCAGACGCGGTGAAGCCAAAGCATATTAATAATTGAATACGATATTGATCCCGTATTTGGGTGACTGTCTTGTCTTTGAGGGAGGTCAGAGCATTAGGTTGGACACAGAGAGATTGTAAAGGTTCAGCGTCCTGCTCACAGACATTGGACTCACGGACTTCAGGTTGATGAACTTCCTGCTTCTCGAACGTTCCATCTTCCTGTCTTGAGAGAGCGAATCTAAACTGTTGTGTGACAGCAAGAGAGACGCTCCAGGCTCTTCTGTGACACAGATCTCCCACCATTGTCTCAGACAAAGAAACAGACCCCAAAGGATTTTTTTTTGATTAACACTTAAGCAGTGCCTGACATGCACACATGGGACCATAATTAATGCTCAGATTGGATCTTGTGTACTGTATCTCCTTTTCCATCTGTCATCATGCGGGGCTCTGATAAATAGTTTGGCGCTTCCTGCTCGTCAAGGCCTTTAAGCACTCAGACTCTGGCTGAGTTTCTGGCACAACACAAAGGGTCTGTTCCAAATCTGAGATGAGATGACTTTCTGCATCCTGCTGTTTCAGAAGCGCACTGATAAGGCTTTCGGTTGCAGGCTGGCTGAGCTAAAGGCACCGAATAGACCGAGAGAAGATATCTCACCAGTGATAGGCTCTGACAACTGCGGGTCAAGTCACTGTGGCCCTTTGCTGAGGGAAACCAGTGAGGCAGTGGTACAGAAAGTCAAGGGGTCAGACTCCAAGGGGGGCTCGTGTTGAGCAACTTGTGCAGGAGCTCTGCTTTTTGTGGGCTCTTTCCAACATCCTGTGGTGACAGGACCCATTTTTAAACTCTAATTCCTGAGCCATATTTGGTCAGAAGTAGTTGATGTTTGTTTATATTTGAGCTGCTTGGCCCCTTGAATAAAGTTTCCCTCAACCAAGAGTGGGAACTGTACTTTAAGCTGCTTATGTTCAGGGACTTTGTCTCTGCTCGTTAATGATAGGAGATATTCTTGGCAATGCTTTATATTTCCTGGGCTCTATAATAAATGTGTACTTATATACAAAAAAGACAAAACATACTCTGAACTAAAGTCTTTCAATTCTCCACCCACTGTAATATTGGACCACTTACATAAAGCCCTTTATGCTTTGATGTTTTTTCTTTTCCCCTCCCACTGTATTTTGAGTGATTTCCTCCGGTGTAATCAAATGCTCCATCATATCCTCTGCTTGTTTACCAATGGACCTCCTGCTTCCGTAAGTACACAGTAAAACTACGAAAGAGACACATAATCCCTGAACAATAACATATAGTGTGTCTCTCAACAATCCTAAATTGATTGTCCTGAGGCTAATTAAGTTTCCCAACATTTTGTTAATCAAATGCAACCTTCTGTTTAAGTTTTTTTTTTAAAGAACACAGCAAACTAAAATCACTAGAAAATGTTTAGTTTCTCTTTTTTTGACAAACACATTCCCATTTTGTTCACTTTTTTGTTGTTGTTTCCGGTTAGGCATTCCAACAAGGATAGGAAGTGGGATTGAAACAGCACTTATTTCCAGTTGAGTGTTTTTGGAGTAAATCCGAATGAAATGCTGAGAATGCTGCTGAGCTGGCATCAGTCAAGAGGGGGGGATACTCATTATCTGAGTCACTTCACTGAAGCTTTGCTGCTGCATTGGGATCCATTACTGAACCTGCTGAAATGTGTGCGTAGCCAGGCGTGTGTGCGTTTGTTTGTTTCCTGTCAGACCTAAACTGCTGTGCTCGGTTCCAGGGTTATCCACCGCATGGTTCACATTCTTTATCTTCTTCTTCTGCCACTGGCTATGGATCCCCAGTGGCTCATATCAAAACATTATGAGCCACCAGCAGCTTTCAGAATACGCTTGAGGAGTTGTCTCAGACACAAATAGTCTATGTATACACTGTGGTAATTTACCAAAAACGTTAGTGGGTGTAATAATATGTCTCTTGTGTGAGATTGAGCATGGCAGTGTTCCTGCGGTTCAACAATCTGGCCTGTGACCTATCCTGTCCTTTTATCCCTCCTTGTCTATCTATCTAGTTTCCTCCCTCCTGTCAACAGAGCAGACACGGCTCTCCAGAGTAACCTCGTTTTAGCTACCTTTGTCACTCTATCTCAGTGTGATAACATGCCTTTCCCCCCCCCCCTGCTCTCTGTCCCTGTATGTGTGTGTTTGTCTCAGACTGGCAAATTGCCACGCTGGCCTTGCTGTTGGGGGGTGCGGCCCTCACCCTGATCTCCTTTCTGGTGGCGCTGATCTCCCTGTGCTCCAGCTCCAGGAGTCGCTGCTACAAGGCTGTGTCTATCATGCTGTTCTCTGCAGGTACGACATTTATTCTGAAGAAGGAAGAGCTGAAGGACATAGACAGAAAAAATAGAAAACAATCACTGTTCGATTTCCAGAGTCAGACACCAAAATCCTTCATTACTCGAAGATAGATATACTCTTCTTGCACTATTTCTATTTCATTTGTATTTACTTGCACATCTCAAACCATTCTCTTGCACTAGTTTATCTGTGTTATTTGTTCTATGTCCTATATGTTGCACTGTTGGAGTAGCCTGTGTAGCAGAGTGCCTTGGTTCTCCCTTCTTGTAAGCTGCTTAGTCATGTTTTAAATTTGCTTGTATTAACCAAACAGTTTTTGACATCGTCCTGTTTCCTTCCTGTTTTCCTCTGCAGTGGTGCTCCAGCTGTGCAGCTTGGTCCTGTTCCCCATCAAGTTCATCGAGACGGTCAGTCTGAGGGTGTACCACGAGTTTAACTGGGGCTACGGCCTGGCCTGGGGATCCACCATCTTTTCTTTTGGAGGCGCCATCCTCTATTGCCTCAACCCCAAGAACTATGAAGACTACTACTAAAATATGTTTAAAGAAAGAGAAACTGAGACTCTGCTTCAACCCGATGTCCTCTCAGCAATATGAACTCTCGTCTGTTACACAGTGCACAACCACAGACTAGAAAAAGAAGAAATACAAATGCTTATTGTTAGTTTCAGGACTGGAAATGAGCTGTTTCATTTGATACTGTGAACTAATTATCCAACAGACTACCCTCACTCATTGAACCGAAGCCTCGTGCTTTCTCAGAAGTTTTGGCAGCAGACCTGACTGTGAAAAAAGAAATCTAACCCAGCCTGTGTAGTTTGGGAGAGAATGTCCGCACTTGCATAACTCTGCTTCCCCTTTAAGGTGAACTCCAGTGGGTCTCAGATTTGGGCAGAAAATCTGAAGGAAGCAGATGGAGTCACTGCCCCCATACCAAGAGGAATGGCTGAAATAATTAACCAAGCAGAGCAGAGAATGATGTCAACACGGTCCAATCAGGGAAGCCAGGGTATCATGATCATGACAAGTAGGAAACACAGGGCACACCTAAGGAAATGCTACATTTCTCCAGAGATAAACCACAACTGGAAAGAGCGGCTTTAAGTTCTCTTGTCCTTTTGAGTCTATAAAGAGACGCTGCTTATAAACAGAAGCTACCTAACACAGTGAAAACATTCCACAGCCACCCTCCAAAGGATAACATACTGGTGAGAGGGACATTTACTGGTTAATGAATAGCACAGCCTATCACATGTAAACAGTGGGGGAACCTTTGGCAGCCAATGTAAACCTGCAGCCTAAAGCAAGTCATACCTGCTTTTTGATAAAACCAGGTTGTATTATATGTAATAATAAGCATAATATTCTCATTACAAGGAGACCAGTGGGTAGGAAGATGGCAAAAGGAACATGTCTGCCAAGTGTGTGCGCATGAACATACCACCCAGCATGCCCTGCTCACACACCTCCCTCCCCATGTGATGCCTCCTTATCTTCTCCCCCTGTAGGGAATGGGAATGCTCTCACTAGAAGAGGCAGTGAATATACAACACATTTCATACAGGGAGATGCTGTAGTATAAAATCATTCTAGTTCCGCAAAAGTAAGTACACTTAGTTTTTGCATCTAATTTAAAGTCCATGATAAAGTACTTTAAGAGATGAGCGAGTGTGCTGCTCCTGTACTGGTAATAACATAGCTTTTCAAACCTCATTCAACTTCTCCAACCCCCTCTTGCAACATTAGTGCAAGTGAGTGAGTGTGTGCATGCCCCTAGCATTAGCTGCTGTGTTTCTGATTCCCACTGGTTTGATTACTTGCATAATAAACATGTACTGGAAAAAATAGGTGTGTTTGTTTCATGTGAGGAAAAAGGATCATCTGGGAATTATTAAAAAAAACTATGCCGACATGCCAGCTGTGCATGGTCAAGTCACATAGAATCAGCTCCTTTATTAAGTACAGCAAGTTGAGGCATTTGCACAGGAAATCAACATCTTCTGAACACGTAATACAGGGTGGCATAATATGCATAGAAGTACCAGGAATATACTTTTATGCAAATGTCTTTAGTGTTCTTCTTTCAGTGAAATTAGCTCTAATACGGAGCCGGATACAGTGTACAGTCTACATTTCGCATTACTCAGAATGTGTATAGCATTGCTTTCATTGTTCCACTGTCAGAGTCCTAGATTAAAGTGGAAGTGCCTCCATGTTGAGTTCAGGAATGGGCGCAGTTGTGTAAACGGGGCAGTCACTCTTTCTGCGTGGAATGTTCTCTAGGTAAACCGCTGGCTCCTCCTTCTCATCCCTCATTCCCTTTGACCTTTCCGAAGCCCCGACCCACAAACTGCCGGAGTTGCTGCGTTCCAGTCCCTCTTTTTACACATTTGCCATGATAAGAGTCTCCAACTGCCCTGAATAAGAATCATCATCCTCCAATGGAAATAAAGGGTCAAAGTGCACAGGAGTAGTAGATGGGAGCAGGACAAGTGGGCACAGAGGGAAAGTGGCTCTTCCTCAGCAGGTAAGAGGGGCTTGTATATTGATTGACAGGGAAAGACCTCTAGACAGAGGGGTGGGGATATACTATCCAAGGTTCGGCAGGGGATAGGGCGGGGGTGGGCAGTACAGCACAGCGCTAAGCTCAGGTGTAGCGCGGCATCTCGCACTGTTCACAGCGGTTGAGGGCGGGGTGGTTGAGAAAGGTGCAGCTTTCACAGTTCCAATGGGCTCCTTCAAAGTCCTCGTCCCTCTGGGGCCCCGGCGCCGGCACCGGCACCGGCTTTGGGCCCGGCTCTCCTTCAAACAAAAACATAGGAGAGGCCATTTATTAAAAAGGGTGTTTATAAATGTGATAAAATGAATAACCCCAAAATGTAAGAGTTGTCAACTTAGGGCGGGAAATTAACCATGGCTGTCACTGTCTGTATAGATGTTGACAGACTATTCACTTAATGGCAAGGTTTCTAGTCTGGTTTCCATGGCAACACATTTCTGGAGACCAAAAAAGTCATTTCAGGTTTTTGTCGTGGTTTTTCAAATAAAATGTTTCAAATCTTGAATGTACTGCAAGACAAAGGGGACAAATACTGTTTGTGAGCAATGACCCAACTGGTCACGCATAGAAACTCAAATCTGTTCCTTGGCAACAGGTTAACTTATGATCAATTTACAGACCTATTTTTTCTTCCCTTCTTTACAAATCCCATTGAAAAACTCTCATGACTCACTCTTATGTTGTGAAAAATTGAAATGTCTCACCTTTCTTTCCAGGTTTGGGCGGCACAATAGGACCGGGCTGAATGTGGTCATAAAAGTTGTTCATTGCTTTTGGATCAAACTTTTCTGTGGAGGAAAACCAGAAACAGAAGTTTGTTAGGAAGTGTCCATCCTGAGAAGAGGCCTAATCCGTCCAACTGGTTTACAGCTTTTCTCTTGAAACTCCTGACTGACTGCCGTGGTCAGACAGACGGTAACAGCATCCTTATTCATTGCAACAAAGAGGAATACAAAAAAAAAAAGATGCAGGGTCCTTATGCAAAAAAGTTAAATCCATCTCAATTTCCACAGAAACGTCATGAAACATCATCTGGCTAGTACTTTGTTAGTCAACCAAATGCATGCACTGTTTTGGCACCAATAAGACTTTAAATGCATGAGTCTTGGATTTTTTTAAAAAGCCAATTGGGTGCTTTGTCCAAATCAGATTAATCGCAACATTTTTAACAAACTATTTCATTGTCTGCTTGGATGCATAGTTTTAGCAGCATCAACAAGATATATAGGCCTAACGGCTCCAGGCTTGCAGTTAGAGTGATTAACTGATTTATTTTTGCAACTGGAAGGAATTTTCTGCAAGGAACGTTCTGAAGTTCAATTAAATGCTTTGTGAAGCTGAGCTCAAAAAGGCACGCAAAGATCACTCGCACAAATTACGCTTTTAACATAATTACCACCAATTTCAAAGGCCTACAACACCATCCATTCATTCCACTTCATTCTACTCTACAAATAGATTTTTTTCCCCCCAATAAATAAAACTGGTCGAAGCCTCAAATGTAAAATACCAGAAGTAACAAAAAAAATAAAAGAAATCTCTGTGTAAATAACAGAAAAAGGTAAACACAGCTGTGTACATCTGTGTAACTTTTATGATACTAACTTTAAGCTTGCATTTATTCCCTGCCACTCGTCCGTGACCACGACGCCATCTGCGATCGATTAACTTGTGGACAATGATCCCTCGCTCCCTTGCTCTGATCTCGTCTCCTTCTGGCCTGTTAAGTGGCCTGCCTCACACAGGGTGACTGGCTGTCCACATGATGTGGCCTGCCGACATGGCCACTGTCATACAGATCATAAATCAAAGCCCTTGATTGGTCTCTGTGTGTCATTCAAGCTCGGGATAACTTCAGCTCAGGTGAGGTAAAAGACTCTGAGTGTTTAGATGGTTAACTTAGTCTAAGTTCTCAGTGGGTCTCAAACGGTGTGGTCACCATTTATGTAAACACATATTTCCATTTGAGAGGGTAGTGATTTGTCTAATGCAGCGGTTTTCAAAGTGTGAGGCGCGCCTCCCCTGGGGGGCGCCAGAGAGCTTCAGGGGAGGCGCAACGTGAGACACAAAAGAACGAGAAAAAGACGAGTAAAGTGACACTTGCCCACTTGTGGCTGTCTGTGGAGACCGAGTTCCCCCACCTCGCCAAAAAGGCTGTAAAAGTGCTCATTCCCTTCACCTCCACCTACCTGTGTGAGTGCAGGTTTTCCGCATTGACTTTGATCAAAAGCAAGTGCCGGTAAAGGCTGCAGCCAGAGTATGATCTGCGTTTATTCCTCTGTGCATCAAAGACGCAGACTCATTGTTCCCACTAAAGTAGGGGTGAGTGTAATAAGGAGGCAAAGTTGATGTTCAGTGTGTTACCGGGAGCATATAAGGATGTATCCACCATGTTGAAAATGTTAAAAAAAATATGTCTTGAGAACACGGCGTGCGGAAACATACGGGTCGTGCTGCAGCTAGATGTGCCTGTCCTCTGTAAGAAGGTGTCGGCGACTGACATGTAAGGAAGAACGGCTGTCCACAGGCTGTTCCAACTTTAACAACTGTATTAACTTCCAGGGTAGTGAATTGAACATGCAATCGTAATTGGGTGTGTGGTATATGCACGAACACGCATGTTCCACAACCCTTGAGTGTCTCCCCGCAGGACAAGGTCTAGAAAGTTCGGTTGGAGGGGGGCTCGACTACAGGGGCTAATTCCCCGCCTGGTCCCCCAAAAAAAAAAAAGTCACACCCATCCCACTCGGAGGGGGGAGCGCTCCTTGTACTTCTGTTCCCGGAACCGCGGGGCGGAGGGGTTAATAACTAAGGAAAATAATAATAACTAACAACACCAAACATTTAAAGTCCCCATAAGTTTAACGTAAAGGGTTTTCCTTCCCACGGTCAAATTTCCTCTTTTACATTTAATTTTTTACAAAAGACAAAAAGCCGCGACAGATTGAAAAGGGCCGGTTAAACCCTTTTAATGGGAGGCCACTGACCAAAGAAAGAAGGCGGAGACCACAGAGCCAGGAGCCACCACACAACCCCCACACACACACCTACAAGCTAGCACCGAATCTGCCACCGGTCGCGCTCACTCACACGACCTCATCGCAGGTGGGAGGGGAAATTTTTGGTAATTTCTTTTGGGGTTCAATTTTGGAAAAAATTTCGTTAAAAAATACAAAAAATTGTTGATAACAAATTAACATTTCTTGAAGGGGGGGTGATGGAACCCCCTGATAAGGAACGCTTTTGGGCGGGAAGATCGTTATTCGCGGCCTTAACCAGAGGGTTTTGGGGTAACTAACGTTTAGACATTTGCACGGTGAACAAATACATAATTTGTTCCTAAGCTGTTCCGGCCGGACAAGCCCCTTTTTACTTCACAACAAGGGTCAA